TGCACAAGTTCCCATGGGGATGAATGCTGTACACACTTCACTCCTAGCATGATAGAAACTGAGACGCTAAAACTTCAGAATGTTGCCAATTTCTTGAAAAACAGGATTTGGCTTGAGATGGCACGTGTTTAGATGAACAACATTTCTCTTTCCAAACATTTTACGCAAAACTACAGAGCAGGAAATGCTAGAAGAACGTAGAAAAATCATACCTTTGGAAGAGATTTCCTCCTTGCAATACACAGAATCACCAAAGGAAAATACCAGAGAACTGGATGCTGACTATTCACAAAACTAGCCAATAAGACTTAGAGCCTTTATGCACTGGCAAGAACTGATACCCAGGTGTGACAAAACAAAACCATTTAAAGAGCAAAACAAACACATCTCTCTAACATTCATTTAAAATACACAGAATCAATAGCAAAACAACTGTGAAGTGCTACTGAGAGGTACCAAAGATTTATGGACACACTTTATTCTACACTGGAGATTTTTGATTCATTGTAACTTATCTTCGTCCAAGTCAAATTAACGGTCTACAACTTCTCGGGGAATTAATAAGTTAATAATTTAATGCAATTTGACACTACTCAGGAGTGTTAATTGGACAGAAAGAATCCTGAAAAGTTAATTATATTGGAAGCTACATATGTTCACTCAAATATTGAAGTATACCATAAGGCCTTGTTAAATAAAGTTGCAATATTCATGCTAAAATAAACAGAAGGATTAATCTTATAAGTTATAGACACAAAGTTTTGCCAAGCTACCTGTTACATAATGTACACACTCAAAAAAGCACTGATTACTGAATATATCACATTTATTGCTAAAAAAAACTGGAGTACCACCTCCTAGAATCATGTTTACAGTGGAACTTGGTGAAGGACTTATTGACTGTAAACAGAAGCTGCAAAACTACAAATCATTTACAAGAAATATGTCAATAAGTTACTAGCTATTTGAAGAAAGCCTATAATTGTTACAAACGTGGACTAAAAAGTACAAACTATTAAATATTCTGAACATATATTTAAGCTTTTAAATGTAGATTATGTTATTATTAACAGAAAATATCTTAAGTGTGGATATGGCAAATATGGTAACAATACTTGTTGCTGTGTGGCAGGTGAGAACAGAACTCCTGTCCTTTCAGTGGCTCTGGCATTGAGAAGTCCCGCCCTTCACGCGGTGGCTATGAAGCAACTCCAGAGTCAGTCCCTGGTACTAAAATACACACTCTGGCCATTCAGTCCTTGAGGTCTCTGACGCAGGTATTACGTGATTTCTTTCTATAAAACATCACGATTTAATTTACATCACAGTTAAATAGGGATGTCTCAAGTAGGATAGAAGAGTAAAAATAATCAGCATTTTTTAAAAGATTACAGCATGCTGGGCAGGTGGTCTCTGTAGCTGAACTAGGTGGTCGTCACAAGGCCAGCGTGGAGTCAGATGCAGTATTTAGCATCCCTGTCATCCGTCATCCCTTAATATTTAATAAAGTTAACACTGTTTTTTTAACCTGGTCAATATAAAACTGCATTCTTTCAGTATGTAATTTCTTAAGACTCTAAGGCTGGAACTAACACTTGTGGTATTCAGATTACTCAAAATGTACCTTCCGAAGTCTTCATCTAATTTCACCTGCCGTACTGCCCCCACTATCTCTCTATTCTCTCATTTCCCTTCCCCTTTTTTGTCCCCCCTCTTTATTTGTGCTGTTCTTTCTCAATATTTTGTTTTGTAAATGGATACTATCTACTCAGTTCTCCCGACTTAGAATTCCATGGCAATGTTAATAATATATAGCGCATTCTTAAAACTTTCAGTTCTAGATAATGTATATGTTGTATAGTGCTATTATTTTTTAAGCATTTAGTGTTATATCTCTCTGCAATGCTTTAAAAAACTGACACTATCTAAAATGTAATTCCTTTTTTATTACTTTTTAATGCTGTATTTGTCGCAGTCTTCATGACTTACTTCCAACATACTTTGTCAGGTGGCTTTATTTTTCCTTTTCTGGTTTCACTATCTTTCAAACTGTTTATCCTTCTCAGGTACAGATATTTATGTGTTTTCAGAGATAAAACTTTACTCTTATGTACTCAAGAAAAAATACCACTGTAGAAAGTGGCAGTCTATTTTAATAATAAAAAGAGAAAACTAAACACCTAAAAAATGCTCAAAAGTACAGGAAATTAAATGTATCTAGTAATTTGATCAAGGTTTTAAAGTAAGAGACGGGGCTGCGAACAGAACTGATCTGGTGACAACCACCACTGCATGCGTAGGCTGATGTGGGTGACATACTGAGCCGACTCCGCACTGGCTGGCACACACAAGAGTCAGGACTGGGGTCACCTCCAGCAAGGTTTCATTGGGGACCCCTCTCCCACAACGAGTGGCTCATTGGACTCAGAAAACCAACCACAGGGAAAATTACAGCACCTGTGGTCTGACCGTGGAGTACAAATGTCAGTACTGGGTCTCCTCAGCTGGTGAAGCTTGGGCAGCAGATGGCATGCCCAGATGCACATGGGGGACAGGACAACCAGCTCACTGAAGCCTGCAGAGGACATCTAGTACCATGGAGGGCAGAACAAACTGGACAGCTTTCTCGGCCAAGCTTTGACAGCGAGTGGAGCCTCTAGGATGGGCTATGTCAGCCAATGGACCTTAGAAGGATTTCTTCAAACTCCTTGGAAGGACTTTCTCAACGGCATCTCAGAACCATTGAAATCACTTAAGCAGTACCTTGGTAATACGCTCCACATTGGGAATGCTGGGATAAGACTGGGTGGCAGTCCCCAGTTCCTGGGTACTGATGTGGTTGGGCTGCTGGGATCCCTTTTCCCTTCTCTCCCCACTTTCCCCAGACAGAGATGGAGAAAGGGAGACTGGAGGAGGTCATCTCATCCACTTTCACCCATTTGTCAACTCTCCGTACCCTAACTGGCAGTCCACATGGGCAAGCATCCTTTATGCCTATGTGGAAATCATCAAAAATAAAATAAATTTATTAGTTAAAAATAGAAAAGAAATATTTTAGGACTAGACCTTCCTCCCAGGAATATAAAAATGACTTGAGCATTTGAAAATTAAAACTTGCTCCTAAATGGATAACTTCTTCTATTTACACTCCAGAGAGACCTAACTTAACTGACACACCGGATACACATGTGCAGCAATCACAGAGCCCTTTGCTAGACTTTACAATTCTCATCATCACAGCAATGTAATCCATCACCAAGGCACACAGGACCTTCTCTGAATAACAGAATGAACATCAAAATGACACGCTTTCCGAATTAAGCTTGCAAAGGTTCACCCTTATGGACAAGAGTTGAGTCACGCCTCGTTCACTGGTGCATTTGTCTCTGATCTTTGAAGAGACTGAACACAGTCCCGGAATTCCTGGATCTGTAGTCGGAACCCTATTCGGAGCATGTCTACTCCTGCATCTTCCTCAACAACTGCAACGTCGTTCTTGAATTTCAAATTAAAAAAAAAAAAACCTTTGCTAATTTATTTTACATTTATTTGAAAGGAAGACAGGGAGCAAGAGAAATAGAGAGAGAGAAATCTTGCATCTGCTTGTTCCACTCAACAAATACACTCAACAGCTGCAACTTGCCCAGGAGGAAACCTGGAGCCAGGAGCATGTGTTTTCCCTGTGGGGCCAGGAGGAAACCTGGAGCCAGGAGCATGTGTTTTCCCTGTGGGGCCAGGAGGAAATCTGGAGCCAGGAGCAGGTGTCTTTCCTGAGGGGGCAGTGGCCCCCACACCTGAGTCATTGTCTGCTGCTTCCCAGTGTGCATGAGCAAGACGTGGACACTGGAAGCAGATCATACAGTAGAGCCCAGCCTTCCACTAAGGGATATGGACGTCCTCCAACGCATCTTCACCATTATGCCAAGTGTCCTCTTTACTTACTCTGCCTCCCCCTCAAAGCCTGGATAAAAGGACCGGCCTTCGCACTATGCACTCCACACCACTTTATCTCCTTTCCCTGTTACAACTATTTCTCTGTATTACTACATACTGTAGAAATCTTTGCATCAATACATTTTAAAATTAGAAATATAATCCTATTGGAGAATGTTGACTATCTAAACATGCGATAGACGTGGCGCTTCACAATATCCAACTTTGATCAGCTCTGTCTTTAGTACAGTTTTCTTACAGGTATGAGTAGACCCAAGAGTGCTGAGAGCTCCTTTTCAGATTGCTTTCATCACGAGTTGTCATTAAAAGTTTTTAAACCTCACTTTGGCAAACAGACTAATTAAAGGGATGAGTCAAAGCTTCCCTGTGGTGTTTCTGTTGTTCATAGTCGTTTGGGATACAATTCTCCCGGGTTTTGTCTCTGGCCTTGCAGGTGGCTCACAGGCTTGACTATTCCCTGCTGATAGCCCTGTCCCAAACCCCAAATATTAACATTCTTATATGCTTAGCGCTGTAGATTCATTGCATTAACTTCCTTTAATAATTCATAAATTCTAACGATTCCCAAGTCATTTCTTCACATTTCTAAGATAAATTTCCTGCCAAAGGAATAAAAGTAGGTACATTTTCATAAGATTGTTACATAAAACAGTACATGTGAGAGTTCAAGGCATAAACAACTATGAAATAAAAGTTGACAATGGGAACAAAATCAGAGTCCTTTCAAAAGGACATGTGCAAGACATTTATGCTTGGTTTATGAAAAATTACAAAGATAACATTTTGACTTTAGCTACCCATTACTATCATTGCACACAAACTTCGTTTATATTTTTTAAATGTGACATTTTTATTCTTTGTGAAAAATATTCAACTCCCAAAGGGCATATTCCTATATTTTTAAGATGTGTATTTTTTTAATTATATGGAAACTACAGAAAGAATTTTCTGAAATGCATACTTCTAAGTAAACAGTAAGTGAGACAGCCAAAAGCTTGGTTGGTTTTCGGCAGGCATCATGAATGCGTTCAGAATGGTAACTGTACCTTATGTCGCAATCTTATTAGAGGTTGATAGGACTTCAAGCTGTATCCAGATTCCTTGGTTGGCCTGCCTTCTGACCTCAGCAGAATGAATCCAAGAACCAAAACAGCTGGCCAACACTGCAGCATCGTTACCACTTTTCACCTGCCAAAGTTAGAATTGCATGTAATTAGAAGATTGCATTATATATGTCAAATAAACAGATCAAGACACATTCAATATCACACGGAAATTTCCGTTGATCTAGTCAAATCTTGGCAGTAGCGGTGAGCTGAATCTGTAACAGGCAAGTATCTTTAAATAGAGATTATCCGTTGGATCATAACAAATGCTGTGCTCTTTGTACGCATCCACCCAGACTCACAAACTAGAAGAAATACAGGAGTCAATAAAAATGTACTGAGGAAAAATTAATAACAGGTTTAAAAGACAGAAAAATATATACAAAACATTAAACCATGCCTGGTTTTCTAAGTGTCAGTGCAGAATACCACTGTTAAGATATTTATAAACCTTAGTCCTCTTTAAGTATGACGGATGAATAAATCTTAGCAAAATTATAGCAAATGAAACCCACCAGTAATAACTAATGAAAAGCTAATAAGGTAGGTTTTATCATATATATATTAGCATACAATAGAATTTATGAAGGGGGGTTGTGGGTTATAAAAGCACATTCATGATAGTGTTTAATCAGAGTTTCTTAGAAAATTGCTTTCCAACTGCTTTGAATTAAAAATTTGTCTCTTTCCACTGCCCTTTGTTGGGAATATTCCAGAGAAGTTGTAAAATGACGCATGCCAATTATCATACAAATACTAGTCTCTTTTTTCAAAACAAAATTATATATGCCTTGAGTTGCATTAACTTAATTTTCCTACTTTCACCAGCACTCCACCTTCTCAATAATAATGAGAAGCTTTTTTTTCTGCATTTAATTTAATAATCAACTAACTTCTCCTTACTGTTTCCTTCATACACATTGGACTTGCCTATGTTTTAAGATGTCTTCTCTGCTCTATTTCCTGAATTTTCTAAAAGTTGAATATCATTCTATTCAATTGTTAAGATAATTCCATGGTGCATCTGCCACTGTGATTCTACCTAAGTAACTTTGAACTCTCCATTAATAACCAGGGACATTGTTGTCGCAAAAATCAGTGGGCATTCCTAACCCCTTTTCATAAAAGGGTTCTTTTGGGATTATTGCTTATTTATCTCTGCCAGAACAGCATCAGTTTCTTTCAGTCTGTGATACTTCTGTTTTCCGTGTTGGGGTATTGTGAATACTCCTCAGGGCTTGTGCAGATTTGTTTATTTTGTCAGTAAGCAATGTGACTTGGCAAACTCTGTCATTGATACTTTCTTAATCTACCTGTCCACTCAGTCCAGCTTATCTCAACCTGGTTCATGGTTTTAATGACGTAATCTGCTCCTCAGCTAATTCCTACACTGTTACAGGAAGGTTGACTAACAGTTCTGTTTTTGTTGTAAAAACTTTGTCGTATCATGCCCCCATATCAAGCCTGATCCCCCCGCCTTCCTGTTCACCTACCTACACAAACCAGGAAAGGGGAGACGTTTCTGTACATTCTCCTGCCATTTGCCGCTTACATTAAATTCGTCACCAACTTCTGCAACATCCAGTTTCTATGCAAGTTTCCCAAGTTCCACACATGAATTGTATTTATGAATTTGAACTTCTATAGCTCATTTTTGTTACATGACTTTTCTTGGCATTCCTTTATTCTGACAGGGGTAACTTTGTACCTCTGTTTAATAAAAACCTTTGTATGTCAAACACATCCTTCAGAAGCCCGCTCCACGTCACCCAGCTTAGTTCTGTTTTATTCATTTCCATAAGCCACTTGTCTTTCATTTCAGAGCATTTCCTTTACTTACACACAATTAATATGATTATTTAAAGAAACGTGGTCCTCCCAGGAGATAATATATGTGTTTTTCCCTGCTAAATTCATGCAATGAGGAATTTGCGTAGGTTTTTCCATCTTGTTGTCGTTAGTAATGGTATTTATCTCTTTTTGTTTATTTGGTCTTTTTTTTCTTTTTTCAGGATTAACTCTTTTGGGCTTAGCAATAACCTGGTACCTACAAGATGTTTAACAAATGAATAAGTTAACCATACGTCTTCAGGTAACAGAAAAGATGTTTCTTAGAACTCTGACAATATTGAATGCAGAACCCCAAGGAAGGTTGGGCTCCTCCTGGACAGGGCAAAGAGGTATTTCCTAGGACTGCAAGAGAAGGCTGACAGAAGGAGATATTTGCCTTACATGACTTTTCAACTGACATTGTGTTGGCTGATTTTAGAAAGGCTAATATCCCTAGATAAATATAGCAGGTGTGTGCTGTGTCATACTGTCTGACTCCCGCAAGTTTTTTAACGCCGGCAGATCGCTCCTGGCCTCACTCGAGCAGGGCAATGACCTCAACGAGCTCCAAGATGTGCTCCTTTCTGCTACCCCGGAAATGTGCGAGACAGACTGACTTTAGATGACTTGCTGTCTGTGTAATCCAAAGTTACACTCTGACACTTTTATCCGAGTATAACGTCTGAGCACATGCATGTATCTCACCAAGAGGATGAAAGAACAGGTGTGAGAGCCCATTCCTCTTTCTTGACATGTCTTTTGGTAGTTCTAATGGTGATACTAGCTAGCTAGGCACTGAACACAGGAGCGTGGCATTGGGGAAACAAAACATGTGCTACAGATATCATTCTCGAGGAAGCTTAGTCCTCTTATAAATAACACAATCTAGGAATGACATAAGCACAATTAGAAAGGAGATTAGGTCCAGAGACTAATCCTTGAGGCCGGCTTAGTGGGAGCAGATGGTCCAATGTGTCTAGGAGGGAGAGAAAATGACAACAGTGAGATGGCGACTGTAGAACCCTGGCAAATGAAAATCACAATTCCAACGAGATGGCCGGAAGCTACAGCTCTTCTCAACACTTGACACGTTACTGTTCACTGGCTGGTTCACATTCTCCAGACCGAATCACAAAGACAACATCATCACCATCATTGTGTGAACAACAGCCAGTACTTCAAAGACAGAAGGCATTCAATGAATATTCTGGCATCACTATCTTAGTGAAGATAAAATGTTTGAAATTCTACATGTACATTAAGTGAATCTTAATATTCATTACGTGTGTGCAAATTGTCATTTTATTTACTGTTGAATCAGTCACTAAATAAAGGTGCAATTATCAGTAAAATCTTTTATTTTATACCTGATAAAAACTTGGGGTTTTGACCTAAGCTCCTCTTGACTTGTCTCTCTTGTCAATCACAGATGCGTTCCTTGCTAAAGCTGTATGAACTACAAAGATTTACCTAATATGCTTTAAACAAGCCTATAGTAGCAGCTTTTGGCAGCTTTGGAGCCACTTTAATTCCAAACTACTACTTTGATCAACTTACTAGGGTACCAGCTTATCATTTATTTTGGGAGAAAACATGTTTTAAAACAATCTTATTTGACCTTGATGATCACGTACTAGTTCAAGAGAAGAGAGAAGTATTACAAGTTCTGTCTTCTGAATTCTAGCTTCTTGCTTTGATGAGCACTTAAAATGTAAATTAAGGAAGAATGCAGCTCCTCCAACTGACTTTGCCTAAAGTCCCAGAGGTACTATGTTATGGACTTTATTTGCTATTAAAAAAAATCATTGCAACTTTGTCAATGTCAGACAGATTTTTAAATTCGACCTATTTCATACCAAGCTCTCTAGCAGGCTGTGTTCTTTAAATTTGGAACTACGTTTATTATTTCAGGAAGAAAATCTGTCACAGCCCAACAATGAAATGCTGCACAGGAAGCAGGTTAACCTCTGCATTTAAAACGGAAAGTGCCATTGGGGAAACTTTCCTTTTCACCGGGGTCAGCTGGGTCTCTGTGGGATCCTAGTTTATTCTCAGAAAAGCATGAAGTGTCTGAGACAGGAACCTGCGGTGAACACAGTCACTGGGATCCAAGACTTTTTCCAGAAGAATCCAAAACTCAGTCTATTATGGAGGAAAGGACTGCATGGGGATTCCTAAACAAAGTTTCTCAGAAAGAAAATCCTGTTTTCTTGGGTAATAGACAATCACCCACTCTTTGAGATAAAACTTATGCTAATTCAATTAAAAATCTAAGGCATTCTCAGCAGTATGAAGCAAAACACACAACAATAGATAAACTACTTAAAGAAAGTCCCAAAGCTGTTAGAACTGTTCTATCTCATCATACTGTTAATGCAGTGAAAGAATCATGAACAGCCAACACAGCAAGAGGTGCTACTCAGCCAGCATCAATACAACATGTTCATTTTATCTCACACCAATATGTGCAAGGAGAAAAATAAGCCACAGATTAAAGGGTGTTTTCTAATAGCTCAAAATCTGGCTATTTTTATGCTTAATTAATTAATTTTGGTTGTTCAACCCACATTTTTACCTAAGCTTTGATACACTGCATATTGCAGTGCTAACACTAACTATCATTTGCATTTTAGGTTTTAGGACAATGTCACACATTTACATGTCACCATGGAATTAAAATAGTTCTGAAAATTGTTATAAAAATGTGTTTATAAGTGAGAGAGGTATTGCAAAGCTCTTATATTTAAAATACATACAAAATGAAAATAAGAATGAATAACTTCTTAAATACTAATGAACAAAACTAAATAATTTTCTCACATGACATTCAATGGAAACAATACATTTTTTAAAAAGTCAAGCACATTTTCCCTGAATTTATTACTTCAGAGATAGGACAGCTTCGGCTGAAGAGTCTGTAAATTCCCTTTAGATTTGCCTATCACAGGAGTGACTATGTGATCCTCTTAAAGGCGCCACTACTATAGACACATTTTAGAAAGCCAGAACGTTGAACATCGTGAACTCAGAATCCTAAAGACTCCAGGTCTCCCATGTGAGACGTGTTGAGCATTTTTCCGAAATTGCCATCATTCAAAGCAACAAACTGAAGGTCTTGTGAAATGATTGTATTTTGCTGTCTCTGAACATTTCACAGGGTGTTTCATAGAAAAAAAAAAATCCAAATCTAAAAGTTGAAAAACTCGCCCTTTGGTTTTGTTCTCACTGTCTATTGG